CATCAGTCATTTAACCAATCTGGTTTCTTTGTCTCTTGCAAACAATCAAATCAATGGATCCATACCTTCAGAAATATGGAACTTGAAGAGTCTTGTAGCCTTAGACATGAGTGATTGCTCCCTCAATGTTCCAATCTCTTCCAACATCAGTCATTTAACCAATCTGGTTTCTTTGTCTCTTGCATACAATCAAATCAATGGATCCATACCTTCAGAAATAGGAAATTTAAAGAACTTGGTTTCTCTGGATCTATCTTGGAACTTGTTTGTTGGTTTGCTCCCTTCCCGTTTTGGCCAATTGACCAGTTTGAGATTTTTGTTTCTTGGTTTGAATTCATTTAGTGGTTCCATCCCTTCGGAATTTGGGGACTTTACGAATTTGATTGGTTTGTGTCTTTTGTACTGCGGTTTTTTTGGTCCACTCCCTTCATCTTTGGGTCTCTTGTCCAATTTGAGGATCCTGCACCTTGGAACAAATTCTTTTTATGGCTCCATCCCCTCAAGCATAGGAAATCTAAGTAATTTGGATCTTCTGAATCTTGGTGATAATAGCTTAGTAGGTCAAATCCCTTCCTTTTTGTCTCGTTTGTCCAATTTACAGTATTTGAGTTTTTTTGAAAACAATTTAATTGGTCATATCCCTCCATCTTTGGGTCTCTTGTCCAATTTGTCAATTTTGTATCTTTATTCAAATAACTTGAATGGTTCTATCCCTCAAAATTTAGGATGTCTATATAATTTGTGGGAATTGGATCTTAGTAATAACAAAATAACTGGTCGGATCCCTTCATCTCTGTCTCGTTTGTCCAATTTGTGGTGTTTGTGTCTTTATGAAAACAGTTTAATAGGTCAAATCCTTTCATCTCTGGGTCTCTTGTCCAATTTGTCAGCTTTGGATCTTGATTCAAATAACTTGGATGGTTCTGTCCCTCAAAATTTAGGAAGTTTATATAATTTGTGGGATTTGGATCTTAGTAAAAACAAAATAACTGGTCGTGTCCCTTCATCTCTATCTCATTTGTCTAATTTGCATTATTTGGATCTTGGTTCAAATAATTTACAAGGTTTCATTCCTTCTAAAATAGGAATTATGACTAATCTATATTTTTTGAATCTTGGTACTAACAATTTCACTGGTTCAATTCCTTTCACCATACTTCATTTACCCAATCTGCAAACATTGTGTCTTGATTCAAATCTTTTAGAAGGTTCAATACCCAAAGAGATTGGGCATTTGAAATCTTTGCAGTATTTAGACCTTTCTCGAAACAAATTGTGTGGACACCTCCCATCTGAAATAGGAAACATGAAGAATCTATATATTTTAGATCTTAGTGCTAACAATTTCACTGGTCCCATTCCTTCCACTCTAGGTAATTTAACCAATTTGACCAACTTGTATCTTGATTCAAATCATTTGAAAGGGTCAATACCTTCACAACTTGGGCATTTACAACACTTGCATGTAGATGGCTTGAATCTCAGTTGCAATAATCTCACTGGCCCAATCCCACAAAATTGGGCTTACTTTCCGTACAGCCCTTTTAGAGGCAACCCAGGTTTATACGATTATTTTTTTAGCACCCCCACTAGCACCCCCACTACTTCGCCTTCTCCTTTCACTCAACATAGAAAAAATTCCAACAAAGTGTCGAGACATGTTAAAATTATTCTTCTTAGCACCAACTCTCTAGTTTTGGTATCTCTGGCATTGTTGTTACTTTCTCGGAGAATAAATGGAGCAAAAAGTAAGGAAGCAGTTCTAAGTCCAACAAAAAATGGGGATATGTTCTCAATATGGAACTTTGATGGGAGGGTTGCATTTGAAGACATTATTGCAGCAACTGAAGA